ATGAAGGTAGATAGAAAGCTGAGTAGATGAATGAGTGAACATATGGTTGTGACAACAGATGACAGACAGATAGAATGATACATAGACACATAGATAGATGGGGTAAAATTCATTTCTCTTGTCTTCTCTGGCAAAGGTGAAGCTCGCCTTAGGAGTACCTTAGGAAAAGACTAAAGTTAGTGTTTTTTCCGCAAAGGGAAAAATTGAAATGTGAAATCATTGAGCACATATTTAAAGATTCCAAATATATACTTTCTGCCTTAGAGAAGGAATTATATTCTTTATTTTTTGTTTTTTTTTTTTGAGATGAGGTCTCACTCTGTCAACCAGGCTGGAGTGTATTGGTGTGATCACGGTGCTTGCTGCAGCCTCGACCTCCCAGGCTCAAGGGATCCTTCTACCTCAGCCTCCCGAGTAGCTGGGACTACAGGTGTGCACCACAATGCCCAGCTAATTTTTGTATTTTTTGTAGAGACAGGGTTTTGCCACGTTGCCCAGCCTGGTCTCGAACTCCAGGGCTCTAGCAATCTGCCTGCCTAAACTTCCCAAAGTGCTGGGATTACATATGTGAGTCACCTTGCTGGGCCTAATTCCATTCTTAAGTAGCCTGGAGAGTCCTGGACCCTGTCATTAATGCTAAGTGCAGATAAGTGGCCAAGTTTGAAGCCATGGGTGGCCTTACAGTAGTTTCTTCCCACATTTTTCCTTCCTTCTCTGGCTTTGAGCATTTTATGTAATTTCATTTTCTCCTTCTCTCTTAGCATAACAATTATACTTATTTTTTAAAATGTTTAATGGTTACTTTAAAGTTTTCAATATCCATTTTAAACTAATCTGAACCTACCTTCATATAACACTGTGCCACTTCACAGGTTGGTGCCTTACAACAGAATGTTTTCGATTCTTCCCTCTCATTTCAATTCTTATGACATTGCTGTCATTCATTTCACTTATCCATAGGCTATAATTACCAAACACATTACCACTTTATTACTTAAACAGTTATCTTTTAGACTAATTAAGAATGAGAAAAATTGCCATACATGGTGGCTCATGCCTGTAATCTCAGCACTTTGGGAGGTCCAGGTGGAAAGATCACCTGAGGTCAGGAGTTTGAGACCAGCCTGGCCAACATGGTGAAACCCCATCTCTACTAAAAATACAAAAATTAGTCAGTGTGGTGGTAGATGCCTGCAATCCCAGCTACTCAGGAGGCTAAGGCAGGAGAATCACTTGAACCTGGGAGGCAGAGGTTGCAGAAAGCTGAGATCACACAAGAATGAATGGACGACAAGAACCAAACTCCGTCTCAAAAAAAAAAAAAAAAAAGAGAGAATAACAAAGATAAAATATTTTACTTCCATTTATGCCTTTTTAAATGTCCTCCCTTTCTTTATGTAGACCTGAGTTTCTGATCTATATCATTTTCCTTCTCCCTGAAGAACTTAAAACGTTTTTTGCAGGGCAAGCCGCTGGCAATTCATTCCTTCTGTTTTTGTTTTTCTGACAAAGACTTTGTTTCTCCCTTACTTTTGAAGAGTCATTTCACTAAATATAGAATTCTAGTTGGTAGTCTTTTCTTGCAACACTTTAAACACTATATTCCACTCTCTTTCTCGCACGGATTCTAATTTTAAAATCTGCTACAACTCTTATTCTTGTTTCTATTTTAGGTACCTCCCGCTTCTGGATTCTTTGCAAAATCTTTGGTTTTCTGCAGTTTATGCCCAGAAGTTGGGGTTTTTTTGTTTGCTTTGTTTCTTTTGACATTTATCTTGCTTGATGTTCTCCATCTCCCTGGATCTGTGATTTGGTATCTGACATTCATTTTTAAAAGTTCTGGGCTTTTTTTTTTTTTTTTTTAGGATAGGTTCTCACTCTGTTGCCCAGGCTGAAATGCAATGGTGCAATCTTGACTCACTGCAACCTCCACCTCCTGAGCTCAAGCCATTCTAGTCCTCTGCCTCACAAGTAGCTGGGACCACGGGGTGCCACCATGCCCGGCTAAGTTTTTGCATTTTTAGTAGAGATGGAGTTTGAACATGTTGCCCAGGCTGGTCTTGAACTCCGAGCTCAAGTGATCTGCCCATCTCGGCCTCCCAAAGTACTGGGATTACATGTAAATCATAGTTTTAAAATATTCCCTATCTAATAACACCAGTATCTGTGTCATATTTCATTCTATTTCTGATGCTTGCCTTGTTTCTTCCCTTTTAGCATTCCTTATAATTTTTGTGTTGTTTACAGCTAAAAATTATGTAATAAATAATATGGACTGAGGTAAATAGGCCTTTGGTGTGACATTTTATGCTAATTTGGCTAGGAATTAGGCTGTGTTTAACGTTTGCTATAGCTGCTGGTGCCAGAGGCTTCCGATTCCTCCTAGTTCCCTGTCTTTGTCTCCCCTGTTGACTGAGCTTAGGAAAGCCTAAGTGTAACTTCTCAGAGAGGGTTTGCATCTTGCTGCTGTTTCAGCTGTAATTCCTTAGTATTATATAGGGGCCTTGATGTGGAGGTAAGGTATGGAGAAGGGGAAACAATTTATAATTCTATGATTAAGTTTCAGTTTTTTTTTGTATGTCCCAATGCTGTGACATTCACAGGAGTTTCTCCACTTTCCATCTGTCTTAGATAACACAGGAAGTTCTTAGAGGGGCTGCATTGGGAAAAAATGTTCTTCTCTCAGGTGGCACAAGGCTCTGGGAGAGTATTTTTCTCTAAATAGTAGGCCTGTGATATGGAAAACAAATCTGCTCTGGGCATATTTTTACAATGATTACTCTTCCCTTATGCCTGCCAGAGCCAAGAGGGGATCTTCCTTGGCTCTTCACCATAAGAACCTGATGAGCTTTCTGGTGGTAAATCCCACAGAAGTGTGAGTGACTTTGTAACCATGCCCCCCAAGAGTTTCTCACTTTCATATTAGTCCGCATTCAGCCTCCAGCAATTTATGAAAATTTGCATTTAAGCATTCTCACCAGTTTTGACTCCAGGGCCTTCGGCTATAGTAAACAGATGTGGCTGTAGTTTTATGGATTCACCTGTCTCTCCAGATTTGGGGGTGCTAGTTTGCCCTGTGACTTCAGTTTTCTGATGGATCCAAGAAAAGTCATTAATTTTTCTATTGTGCGGGTTTTTTTTGTTGTTGTTGTAAGGAGAGGAGAAATGATTTCCAAGCTCTTAACCTGTCAGAGCTAAAACCCTACATTAGTTTTTTAACAATTAACAGCCAACTGGAATGCCCCCTTTTCTGCACCAACAGTAGGAGTTGTTCATACTGTGTAACATAAACATTCAGGCACAGGGCCCATGCAGCTTCTCATATCTCATTTCTTCCAGGGTTCAGAGTGTTTTCTCTGTCTTCTCCACCTATAGAGACCGTTTTTGTTAATGTGATACTTCTTTCTCAATTTCTAACAGATTAACTCCAAGGGGTTCAACCTATTGTGTTATCCTCTCAATGCAGACACTATGGTGTCTTTTTCAAAGCTTTGAAATGTGGTTTTCCTTGTTACGTTTTTACAGACCAACCCATCTTTCTCAGATCATTGGTAATGATAGACGTTTTATTCATTTATCTTATTCATTCCTGTGTTTGTTTATCCCCACTCTTTGTTGCTTATTTCTCAAATGCAAAGTGCTCTTCTGTATCCCTCCAAGACATAAAGCCCACAATTCCCTGGCATTCTAGGTGGGGAGATGTCTGTGAAGGACTGTATTACAGAGCAGCTTATAACATTGAGAAACAAGATGATTTTGGCGTATAGCAAGAGATGAGATTGGATTCATCTGAGGTGACCAGGGCATCATGAAGAGCTGGCTTTCACATTTGATGCCGATTGCTGTATCAGTCAGAGCCCATGTGGGAAAGAGACACACTCAAGTGAGGCAATTGAGTAAACTTTAATAAAGGGATTGCTGACAGAAGTAAAGAAAAGTCTAATGGTACCCAACTGACATGGTTTGGCTCTGTCCCCATCAAAATTTCATGTCAAATAGTAATCCCCACATGTTGAGGGAGGGACCTGGCAGGAGGCAACTGTATCATGGGGGCAGTTTCCACCCATGATTATCATTATTATCATAATAATGAATGAGTTCCCAGGAAAGCTGATGGTTTTAAAGTGTGGCATTTCCCTCTTTGCTTTCTCTGTCTCCTGCTGCCACATAAGATGTGCCTTGCTTCCCTTCACCTTCTACCACAACTGTGAGTTTCCGAGACCTCCCCAGTGACGCAGAACTGAGTTAATTAAACCTCCTTTGTTTATAAATTATCCAGTCTCAGGTGTATCTTTATAGCAGGGTGAAAACGGACTACCACACCAACAAAAGGTGGCAATGCATCTCAAATTTAGCAGCAGCAAAGGAACTGTTACTACAGTGAGGCCTGAATGGGAAAAAACGAGAGCACTGTTGCCGGAACTCAGCAAGAGTGGTGGGAATTGCGCCCCTAGAAGACATCCATGTGTCAGGAGCTATGGATTTTGGTAGAGAACTGCAGCTACTGCTAACCTAAAGGTTGACTTGGAGATAAATGCTCTGAACCTACTCTCTTCCTGCTTTCTGATTCCCTATTTGTCTTTTCCAATGGCTGAGCCCAAGCGACATCAGAGGGCAAGCCTACAGAGGTCAGCTTCCTGGGAAACAAAGGAGCATAGGGAGAGGTGAAAAGTGGATCTGAAGGAGCAAATGAGGGATACCCAGTCCATAAGGATTCTGCATTTCTGGAATCGAGGATGAAGGATCTGACAGGATACTGACAACCACAAGTCCTTGATTTGTGGGACCTAGAGGGAGAGTTAGAGACAAAATATATTGAAAACTGAGCCATTTCTGTTGCCACATCTTGACACTCTCTGCACAATCACCGGGACCCTCACCTCTAGGAAATGATTTCTGAAGCAGTATAAGTACTTGTAATACTTGCTTTTTTTTTTTAAAGAAATTTCAGTGGAGGAAAAGTGAAACTGGCGCCAAAGACTCACTTTTCTCTCTTACAGCCTTCTAGCAGCAGGAGGAGGAAACCGTCGAACTGCCAATGTGGTGGCCCATGGGTTTGCCAATCTTTTAACTCTAGACAAAAAGACTCTTCAAGAAATTCTAGTGCATTATCCAGATTCTGAAAGGATCCTCATGAAGAAAGCCAGGTACATCCTTTAAAACCCCATTAGAGATTAATGCAGTTGGTTTTACTTTGTAAACTCTGAGATAAGGAGAACCGTATTATGATTGTGATAAACTTCATCACAATGAAATGTGCTTAATAAACAACGATTAAAGTAGGTTCTCATTGAAACTTCACAGGTTAGGAGAAATTCCAGTTTTTCTGGTACATTTTGCCAGAACTCTCACAGAGATACCTAAAACAGCTTTTCTCTCCTACCCACAGAGTGCTTTTAAAGCAGAAGGCTAAGACTGCAGAAGTAACCCCTCCAAGAAAAAATCTTGCCTTCCTCTTCCCACCAAAAGAAGAGACACCCAAACTGTTTAAAACTCTCCTAGGAGGCACAGGAAAAGCGAGTCTTGCAAGACTACTCAAACTGAAGCGAGAACAAACAGCTCAGGTAATAAGGCAAAGGGAATGGAGGGCTGTCATGGAGAAGGCCCCAGACTAAGTATATCCACACAAACTCCTACTCTTAATTCCATTTCAGACACTGAGATAGTTCGGACTAATCTAATACTAATAATTCCTGCTTTATATATAGCACATTATTAAACTGGTGAATTCCTATATATTATCACATTTAACCCTCACATGATGTTTATAGATGACCTTAATATACATGTATTTATAAATACAGTTTACTCTCATTTTTCATAGATTATTCACAGATTCTATATTTGTGATTCTACTTAATATAATTTATTTGTAACTTAAAATTGATACTCATGGTGCCTTTGTCGTTGTTTGTGGAGAAGAGCAAGTACAGGATGGCAAAACATTGAAGTTGCCCAATGCATACATTTTCAGCCAAGGTTGAACAAAGAGGCACTCTCCTTTCTTGTTTCAGCTCTTATACTATAAATGAGTGACCCTTTAGGTGCCATGGGTTTCACATTTTTGTGCTTTTTGCCTGTGTTTGATTTTGCTGTTTAAAATAGCCCCCAAGTATAGTCCTGAAATACTGTCTAGTATTTCTAACTGCCAAAATACTATGACATGCCTTCCAGAGAAAATGTGTGTGTTAGATAAACTTTATTCAGGAATTATAGTGCTGATTCCATGAGTCCAATGTAATGAGTCAAGAATACGTCAAATTAATTGATCAAATTAATAGGGTATCTCTAAACAAAATCACACATGAAATAAAGTTACATATTGACGAATTGAGAAAAATGTTATGGTTGGAAGCTCATAAGAACCTAATGCTGTATTTCCCCCAGGAGCAATGGTTCAGTATTTGCTAATTTGCTGCTTGTAGAAACTTTATAGAACAAAACTACATGAATAATAAGAATAAACTCTATATATAGAGAGACATACATATGGATAGATAAATAAACAACCCATTTTATCCACATTTTCACAAATATTCAATTACTATAGATCACAAATGTTTAAAGCCAGAAATAACTTTGTAAATTTCATTTAAGTTTTTCATGTTATAGATGAAGAAACTGAAACCCAGATCAAGGAATTTGGATAAGATCATAATTAGTTAGAGAGCAGAAAGCTATCATTCAGGTGTTCAGACTTACAGGCCTACATGAAGCTGCCTTTCAATTCCTTGAAATGTAAATAAATCAAATGTTATTGTTTTCCTCTCTTTTTGTTTTATTTTCCATATTTCTTTGATTCTCATAATTAGTCTATGAGGGCAGATACCAAGAAACAGACAGAGTTGGATTCAGGTTTTCTGAACCTGGTCATTGTGTTATCTATAAAACTGTAGAAACAGGTAGATGTGGACCTTTTAGAAAATGAGTAAAGCATATATTATAAAGTCAGTCATATACAAAAGACTAAGCCTTGCCTTTTCCTTTTCCACACACACAACACTGGTGAAAATTTAGGAATCCAGCATAAACCAAATGCTTTATTTGCATCAGCAGAGAAATAGTAATTTGCATTAAAATGTACAGGAGTAAAGAAATCTATAAGTAAATGTGTAAAGAATCTAAGCTTTATCAGTGCACATTCATATCCTGGGCAAGCCTTTCTCAAGTTGATCCCAAGCATAACCAGTAAAGAGCACAGTGTACCTTTTGCTATGAAATTTCTATAGCTAGTGCTAAACACAATAGGTTCAAACATGACAGGTCAAACACCTGTGGGACAAATGGAAAAGATTGTACTAGGAAAGGGATAAGTTTCTTCCTGAGCTTCTCCCATGAACTTATGCAAGAGGAAAATTCTACTTTCTACAGTAATTTTATATAGTATTGGTTAATACTTTTTTATTAAAAATAAATATTTAAAATTTTATCTCTACAGAATAAGTAAATATTTAAAAAGCAAAAACAGAGTCCTGAGCACTGAGTCTAATTCAGAGTTTAAGGACCAATAGGAAGATAATTTTTTGGCAGAGACCAAAAAAAATGCAATTCAGACTAACACCATGAGTCAAATGTAACAGCTCCATTCTCTAGCACACCAGGAACTTACTCAAATGATAGGCAGAAGCAAAGCAGACAAGATTTCTGGATTCACTTAATTCAGACAGTCTGTCTTGGTGGTGGTCTTAGCCATTGCCTGCTAATCAAAATCCAATCCAATGTTTTCAGTTATAATTTCAACACCAGTTCTTTGTAATTGCTCCTTCTAGGAAAAAGAAAATTCTGAAGGAGGAGAGGAAAAAGAAAATAAAGATAAACAAAAAGAAAATGAAGATAAAGGAAAAGAAAATGAAGATAAAGGAAAAGAAAATGAAGATAAACAAAAAGAAAATGAAGATAAACAAAAAGAAAATGAAGATAAAGGAAAAGAAAATGAAGATAAAGGAAGAGAGCCAGCAGAGAAGCCACTGAACAGGCCTGAATATACAGCAAGTCCTGTTGCAGTGGAAGAAGAGCCCCAGTCAGTTAGAAGGACAGTTTTACCCAGAGGAACTTCCCGTCAATCACTCATCATCAGCATGGCTCCTTCTGCTGAGGGCGGAGAAGAAGTTCTCACTATTGAAGTCAAAGAAAAGGCTAAGCAATAAATGTTTTATTATCTTTAGAGGTGATACAGCTAGTTCCCAAAGAGATTGTACCTAGGATTGTAACTTCAATTAATGAGGGGAAATGACCTTGCTGGGACCCTTGAGAAACCAAAGGCAAATCCCTAGCTTAGTTTCTAGGACTTATCTGAGAGTGTGATTTCATGCAGTGGTAATAAGAAGATTATTAAAAACCATCCCTATTCTCCATTGTCATTAACTTTATGCAATTGCTACATCTTCTAATTGCATGTAGTAAGTTTTCTTTTCCTTTGATTCTTTCCTGATATTTTTCTTCCTTCCATTTTTACTAGCTTGCTCTTGCCTGTGATGTGATTCACTAACCTTTTCTCTTAATTTTTACTGTGTTTAATTTCTTGTATGGTAGTGTTAAGCCTGGCTAATTGTTCTAGGTTTATGGATTTCACCTCTTACATGCAAGGGGTATGAGATTTTAATGCAATAGGTCAAAAATCAGATTATTTTCATTCAAATGAGGATGATAAGTCACTATAATATCAAAAAATCCCCAGCAGCTGAACTGAAGGGAAGCAGAGACCACGAAGCCTTCTGAATGAGAAGTCTGATTTTTAGAACAGTCCCCTGAAGAGCAATGTTGGTTGGCAGAACTAGCAAACTGACAAAATCACATTGCAGGAACATACTGGAAATATTGTACCCTTTGCTAAAGAAAGAAACTTTAATATTTTCTCTTCTAACCAACTTAAAAGACACCAATCTACCAAACTCATCTGGCTCACGGGACTTGGACTAAAGGATACAGGCTAAAGTGACACTTATTAGAATCTTCCTCAAGCACTTGCTGGAAAAGATATCAGATTGGACTTCTTGTTTAAAATTAAGGTTTAGTAAAAAAAAAAAAAAAAAAAAAAGTGATGAGGTTAGGAAGGCAGACTGCACACACGTCAGATTTACATAGCCCCATAATTTGTGGAACCTACTTGTATAGCTGTTTACAAAATCTCCAAGTTAATTAAGTGCACTTTAGAAAGTTGTCCTCATGAATTAGCTAGCATTAGCATAATTACCAAAGTTACATGCTGTGAAGAGGCTACAAAGGCCAGGCTGATGTCGGAAGTAATAATACATAGAGAATTCCATTCTAATACATGCCATTAGTGTATAACATCGAGTTCTGTACAATGAGGCTATTTCCAAGTCCCTGAAGATGGTCATTGTAACAGCACTTTGCTGAGAGGGTTTTAACAAATTATATTACTCGAAAAGCCTACAACATAGATGCATTTAGCAAACCATGTACAAATCAATCACTATAACAAACTCTATCATCTGATAGAGTCACCGTTTGTGAATGTAGCGCTTGAGTATCACAAAATATAACAAGTTTTACAAAAGGATGGTTGATTTTTTCAGGATTTAAGGGAATATGGACAAATTGTTAAATAGCACTTATTTGAGAAATGGGAGTTTGTATACAGAAAGAGTGAATGTGTATAAAAAGAGTGATTTAAAAACCCAGAAAGAAAAGGTAGAATAGGGCTGAAGAGTCTGATAATAGGAAAAGAAAAGGACAAAAGTCTTCAACTTGTGAACAATATGTTTTCTTCTTGAGGGAATGTGCTCTCTTTCCGGGTCCACAAGGGGCCTTAGTTTTAAGGGCAAGAATTTCCCAGTGCCATGCCCATCTCCCATCTCTCTCCATCCGGGAGATTTAACAGTCTGTTTTAATTCTCATGGGCACGGGAAGAATCAAAAAGTCAATCACTCCAGCAGAAGTTCTAAGGAACACCTTTCATTGGCCAGAGGTCTTGGAGAAGTGGGGGTTCCTCCCAGGTTAAAAGTCCCCTTCTTCCACACCCCTTTGGACTCCATGTTTGGATCCCCTTCCACGAACACTCTCTGGTGGAAGCCTGTCTTCCCCTCCTAAACTCCATCTCTCTCTCTCAATTCCCTTCCACCCAGTGAGGAAGCTGTCTTTCCTCTCCTGGGTTCCATCTTTCTGGATTCTCTCACTCAGTGTGAGAGGAGCTTTCCTTTTCTGGATTTCCCCTCTTGAGTCCCCTTCTGCACTCTTCGTGGAAGTTTTCTCTCTTCTTTTTTTCCTTCTTTCTCTACCTAAATAAATTCACTTTCTGCAAAAACTCTGGGGTCTGGTGTTTACTTTGAGAGTGCACCTGGTCCCCTCTCTCATTCTTGAGAGAGCAGGAGACCAAGAACCTTGGAGAAACGTTTTTTCAGGGGAGCTGAGAGCTCCCCTAAACCCCTGAACCCCAACACATTTACATCCCATAATTAATTTGAATGATATTAGAATATAACACCATTGCAATTTATGCTCTTCCCCTGGCACTTATTTTCCCTCCCAAGCTATTCTGTTTCAGATAATATCAATTTATTTCCAATCCATCAGACTAATATCTAAGAAAATTCAAGAACTCTTCTATTGTTTATATAGTGCCACCAAATTCTTCTTCTTTTATAATCTTTCTAATTATCCTTTTTTTTCAGTCCCAGTGCTAACACCCAGTGCATATTTTCTGTTCAATGCAAATAAACATGCATTTTTTACCTATAGTTTGCTCTGGTCACTGGTCTGCCCTCTTAGTCCCTTTGCTCTTGGAAAATAAAGTGTTTCTAAAACCCTACTTTGACCATGTTACTTCCCTGCACAGAGGCTGTATTAGAGTTCTAAAGAGGGAAAACAAAATAGGAGATATATATCTATCTCAGGCCATTGGATTCACACTGGAACTTGAGCTGCTGGTTCTTCTGGTTCTCAGGCCATCAGACTCAGACTAAAATTATACAACTGGCTTTCTAGGGACTCCAGTTTGTAAATGGTAGATCATGAGACCTTTCCTTCATAGTTTCATGAGCCAATTCCTTAAAATAAGTATATGTACATATATAAATATATATTTACATATCTATCATATTGCAAATATATGAAATTGGTTATATATTTTAATATTATATATCCTACAGAGATGTTTATCATGTTACTTATTTATTTATTTATAATGTATATAAAAGATTCATTATTAGGAATTGGCTCTAGTGTAGCTAGAGAAAATTGGTGTAGCTCTAGTCTGAATCCAAAGGACTGAGAATTAGGAGAGCTAATGGTGTAAGTTCCAGCCTAAGGTAGGAGAAGACTAATGTCCCAGAATGAGCAACCAGGCAAAGAGCAAATTCTCCCTTCCTCTGTCTTTTTAATCTATTCAGGCCCTCAACAAACTGGATTATGCCCACTTACATTGGGGAGGACAATCTGCTTTACTCTGTCCACCAGTTCAAATACTGATCTCATCCACAAACATACTCAGAAACAATGTTTTACCAGCTATCTGGGCACCCTGTGGCCCTGTCAAGTTGACACATAAAACCAATCATCAGAGGAACCTACTAGTCCTCCTACTAGTTAAATCCCATTTATGCAAATTTAATTTCCACTACCCCAACCATATCCTTCACTTAAGTGGGTCTCCTTGCTTTTTGTGAAACTATTACCTTCCCTTCTTCCTCTGGCCTTTGTCCATGATGCCTGCCATCGTCTGGAAGGTTGTCTCTCCTCCATCACTTACCTCTGTCCTATTTTATTCTTCCAACTCTGCTCACATTTTATCTCTCCCAACTGCCTCTAAAAACATCAATCTATGATGGTTCTAGCTCAAGGGATTATATTTTGTACTTTCAAGAAGTACCACATAGTACAGCACTCTCTTGTCCTCTAATTTCCTCTTAATGGTAAATTATTTCTGCTAAATTGTGAATTATAACAAGGCAAAGACTAGCTCTTGTTCTTTCATTGTGTAATGACAAAAAGCCCAGTGTTTAAAGGGATAGAGAATATGAGTAAGTTAGTCATGGAAGGAAAACAAGTAAGTAATTGACAGAGAAAAGGGGCTTGACTTCACTTGTGCTCAAAGAAATACAAATCAGAACAAAAATCGAATACCACTTGATACCCATCTAACTGGAAAATACTTGAAAGTAGTTACATACTTGCCAGCACTTGGTACTATTGGTAATAGGATCTACTATTCTAGCAATCTTAGCAAAATTTTGGCAGCATACCTTAGAACTCAGCAGTACCATTTCAGAGTATATATGCCAGAAAATTCTTAAGCAGGTCCATAGGAGGAAATGCATGAAGATATATACCAATGTTTGTAGTACAAAGGAATTGGAGGCAACTCTAATATCTACCTCTAGGAGAATGGGGGAAAAAATATGCTGTGTGGGAGTATGGCTGTGTTTGTAAGATGAAGTTCTATCCAGCAGTTAGAAGTAATGAATTAGATTTACATAAAGCAACAAGGATAGATATTTTTTAAATACTAGGATAGTTTTTTTAAAAGAAAAAAATAATGAGATCTTCAACAATACCATGCATGTATATTTTTATAAATCTTGTCTGATAAAGACCACTAGGAACAAAACTATAGTATAATACAACGAAGCCAAATTTATAAACATAGTGCAACATAGGAGATCATCCACCAGAGAAAACCTGTGTCCCACCAAACACAGGAAAAGGCCCAGTTACTACAGGACATTGGGGAAAGGGAGAGGTTAAGTGGAGTTGAAATGAAGTGATACTTTGTTAGGCTTAAATTAAATCAAGACAGTATTTAACATCGGGCCTAGGCTAAAAAGCAAATGTAGGGCCCTGTTTCCTTGGAAACTAATACATTAAGATAAACAGAATGTTGTGTCCAAAACTCTCTTGCCCGAAGTTGTGCACCTGGATACTATTTTTTTTTTTTTTTTTTTTTTTTTTTTGAGATGATGTCTTACTCTGTCTCCCAGGCTGGAGGGCCGTGGCACAATCTCGGCTCACTGCAATCTCCACCTCCCTGGTTCAAGATTCTCCTGCCTCAGCCTCTTGAGTAGCTGGGATTACAGGCAACTGCCACCATGCCTGGCTAATTCTTGTATTTTTAGTAGAGACAGAATTTCACCGTATTGGCCAAGCTGGTCTCGAACTCCTGACCTTGTGATCTGCCTGCCTCAGCCTCCCAAAGTGCTGGGATTACAGGCATGAGCCACCACACCCGACCACCTGGATGCTTTTTTGTGTCAAAATAACTAAGATCCTCCAGGCAAAACTGGAATATTTCAGTCTTACTGGTAAGATTTCAAACAGCAAAGTTTCTGACAATCAATGATTTGAGAAAAACAAAGTTTTTCAGTACTATGTTTATTTGTCGATTAATAAAAGGAAATCCCCAATTTAAAACATACTCAAAACACTCTATATATCTTTAAAAAGTATACACATGACTAAAGAACTATGTTATAGGCATTAGAGACAGTGCCTATAGGTGGAGAAGGAAATTGGAGTAACAGAAATAAACAACGTGAGAAAAAAATAAGTCAAGATCATCAGCCAGGGATAGTGTGGCATGAACTGCGAAGTGTGATGAACTCAATTCTATGCACTTGTTGGTCTAATAACAGGACAGGAAATAAGTAAGGTCTCTAGTAACACTGGAATCTTTCCTTTTGGCTGGGTGCAGTGGCTCAGGCCTGTAATCCCAGAACTTGGGAATGCCATGGCGGATCACCTGAGATCAGGAGTTTGAGACCAGCCTGGCCAACATAGCAAAACTCCATCTCTACTAAAAATACAAAAAATTAGCCAGGTGTGGTAGCTTGTGCCGATAATTCCAGCTACTTGGGAGGCTGAGGCAGGAGAATCGCTTGAACCTGGGAGGCAGAGGTTGCTGTGAGCCGAGATCATGCCATTGCACTCCAGCTTGGGAAACAAGAGCAAAACTGTCTAAAAAAAAAAAAAAATCTTTCCTTTCACCTCAATTACTCCTCAACCACACAGGCAGCCCTGTAGACACAGTGCTATTCCATCTAACTAGTGCCTGAACTGCCAACGAGGCTTTTCTTCTATACATGAGCAGGCCTCCACTTGACCACTGCAAAGATTACTGAGAACGACTAGTGTTATGGACTGAATTGTGTCCCATGTAAGTCCCTATGTCGAAACTCTAACTCCCAATGGGACTATATTTGGAGACAGAGCCTTTAAAGAGGTCATTAAGGTTAAATCAGGGTGTAAGTCTGGGGCTTTAACCCAATAGAACTGGTGTGAGAAGTCAGAGACACCAAAGATGGGAAAGCACAGAGAAATGGCCCTGTGAGGTCACAGCAAGAAGACTGCTGCCTGCAGGCCGAGTAGAGAGGCCACAGAGGAAACCAATTGTTTCACCTTGAGATTGGACTTCCAGCCTCCAGAACTATAAGAAAATTGAGCCGAGGAGTTTGAGACCTGCCTGGGCAATATAGTAAGACCCCGTTCTCCACAAAAAGAAAAAAAAGAAAAAGAAGTAAGCGAAAGAAAATAAATTTATGTTGGTTAAGCCACCCAATCTGTAGTATTTTGTTAATGGGAGCCCTGGCAGACTGATACTCTTGGTTTCATGAACTCTGGTGGGAAAACACTGTTGGTTGGAGAAACAGGTAAAAAGTATAATGAAAAGTGGATGAGGACATTGTGGGAATTCAAGGAGTAGTGAGAAGAGAGGCCAGTGGAAGTGTAAAATAACAGGTACCTGAGGAGCAACTCTGAGTGAAAATTTTGAGTTTCCATCTTAGATTTTTATCAGCTCATTTGTTAAGTTCACTATGAACAGGGAGTTCTCAGCAACCAGACTACAGCAACCAAACTAAATCTTGAACAGTTGTTGAAATTTGGATTTGTAACCTTCATAAATGTCAACCACACACCTCTCAACAAATCATAATAAATTCATTCTCCTTTTTCATAAAACCCCAGAATGTTATCATCTCCTAATTTCCAAACAGACCATAAGCACAGAACCCACTCCTGATAATATTAATTTCCTGCAGTGCTTAAAGATATGAAATATTTGAGAGATGGGTTTAGAATATGGTAAAACATGCATAGGGGAGGCATTTTTTCCCATGGATTTCTTCCTTCCTTCCCTTCCTCCCTTCCTCCCTTCCTTCCTTCCTTCCTTCCTTCCTTCCTTCCTTCCTTCCTTCCTTCCTTCCTTCCTTCCTTCCTTCTTTCCTTCCTTCCTTCCCTCTCTCTCTCTCTTTCTCTCTTTCTTTCTTGGGATCGGATCTTGCTCTGTTACCCAGGCTGGAATGCAGTGATATGATCACAGCTCACTGCAGCCTCAAATTCCCAGACTCTGGCAATCCTCCTACCTCAACCTTAACCTCCGAAGTAACTGGGACTACAGCCACGTACCATCACACCTGGCTATCTTTTAAAACGTTTTGTAGAGACAGGGTCTCACTATGTTGCCCTGGCTGGTCTCAAACTCCTGGGTTCAAGCAATCGTCCGGCCTCAGCCTCTCAAGTAATTAACTGCCTACAGCCTCATGCTATCACAGCTGTCTAATTTTTGTATTTTTTGTAGAGATAGGGTCTTGCTTTGTTGCTCAGCCTGGTTCTCTATGAATTTCAAAAGCATTTTCTGATTTAAAAAATGTTTAAACATAGGTGTTGTGTTTTGTTTACGAAACAGGGTCTCATTCTACTGCCCAGGCTTGTCTCAAATTTCTACCTCAGTCTCCTAAGT